TTCGCGGCATTTCTGCTGCTATGTTGTTCTACAGAAGTTGTTTTAGAAAGAGAACGACCAGCTTCGGCTGGAAAAGACTGAGGAAAATCGTTGTGGAATGAAAGCCTTGTATCATCAAGTGGATGAAAAGTATAATAAGGTTTTCTGGTTACGACTGTTTTTTTGTGTTTTGTTTCTGTCTCTCTCTGAAAGCCCTTTAACTGTATGTGGGGTTGTTCTTTCTCGTCGTTGAATTTGATATTCGCCTGCTTGTGGTCGTTTCTTTTTAGGCGTTGAAGCGTTTGCGTGTTTTGGAAGCGGAAGTGGCAAAACGCGATAGTAGCTCGGATAGTGAAGGGAGACTGTGCCGTGAGCTGAAAGATTTGAAGGTTAGTGTATGGCGGTCGTTTTTATGCTTCTCGCACGGTTGATGGTGTTGCTTGCTATTTTTTTTGCTTTGTGCGTATCTTGTAGGTTTTTTTAGGTGGAGAACAAGCAACTTCGTTTACTCAAGGATATGAAGGAGAAGAGCGATAAGAAACTGCGGAAGGCTGAGGCTCGAGCCATAAAAAGCGAAAAAAGTTTTGAGAGGTTGCAAGGCGAGTTTGACCAACTACAGGAAGCGTATAAAAAGGTTTTCTAAACTTGACCTGTGTTTTTGTAAGAAAAAATAATATTACCGCTGTGTGTACTGTTTGGTCTGCTGCAGTGACGAGCAATTTTCTTCTAGTGTATTCAAAAATACGATTGTTTAGAATTAATTTTTTGCAGTCGTTGAGCAGTTTGTCGGACGTAAAGGCGGAACTTGAAAAATGCATGCGTGAACATTCGGATAAAGAAGAGATGTTAAACTGTGAATTAGAAGATTTAGAGGTTTACTTTCCGTTAACATTTGCGTTTTTTATGTTTTCATAACGACGGTACTTCTGGTTTATTATTTTGTGGGTTCCTCTGCGTCTTCCAATAATTTTTTTAGAAGGGAAATGAAGAGGATTTTGTGAAAGGGGCTGCAAATGATCATAACTTTTCTGATTCTCAAGGCATTGATGTTTACGTTGAAGGATCTTCTTACAAATGCTGCATTTCTTAATTCGATCAGTTGTGCATGAATTAGGCAGGTGTATGGTTCGAAGTTTGCATTGCGCAGCGGTAAAGACTTTTGCGACCAATTTTTGTTCCCTTTGTTATTTTAAATGAGAAGTTTAGAGCGTTGTATCAACTAATGGGAAGAATAATGCTATTTTGACGTTTTATATATTATTATATTATAGTTCCATAAGAAAAAAGTCATAACTGAACAGTCTACAGAAGAAACTCAGTCATTATACTACTATTTTAACGCAGTAGCCATCTCTTTACCAATTAAAATTTGAAATTCCATACCATCTCAAAGACGGCACCAATGCAGATTATTTTAAACTGTTCTGGATCAGCACTCTGCAGACTAAATATTCACTAGCATTTAAATAATCGATTTCAAATCGAACTACAATATGTAACTGTAAAGACCTTCTCATCTACACATACTTGGAAAAATCATATAACTTAAACTCAACGATAATAAAAAGCTTTAACAGTCTTTTTTTTCCCGTTATTACTGTTCTACGAAGAAAAATTCCACATACATGTAACCTAATATGCTGTATCATCAATAGGAATTTTATTACTTTAGTGCAGCCAATACCTAAGCAAAGTATGGGCGTGCTTACGAGGGAGACAGCTAAAATCCAGGCTCGGCCAACATTGGTTTGAGCATCCCTGAATGAACAGGCAGTAGGACAAATCGTGATATGATTATGCTTTAATATGCTCGCAACGTACCTGTTTTTGCCCGATGCGTGATGTAAGAAAGGCCGAACATTTTTATGAGAATTTAGCAACTTTAAAAGTGACAGCTGAAAAAAACCTAATTTTTAGACTTTTTTAAACTTTCCTCAAATTTGCAAATCAGCCTGAAGGTAGAAAGTTAGTCAAAAGAAGCGAGTCAAAACATTGACAATATTTAACAACGACACAATACGTGATTTTGATCACAGAAATATAAAAAAAAGAGACAGTGGTCACGTTATTTTTTCTTTCTTGACTTTTGTTTTACAGATAACTAAACAGTTATTTAGGTTTTTCCTGACAAAGTCTACTTGGGCAAATTCAAAATGTTAAACTGACACTTGAGCCGAAAGAACTAATTGATGGCTTTATCAGATTTAAAATTGAAAAAGAAAGGTTAGGATTGATGACTTTTGCTTTAAAAAAAAGCAACTCGCTAAAAATATTATAGGTTTGTGAAACAGCAGTTTAAATCAGAAATGTACAGACTTCTTGAAATAGAATAACTAATCAAATCTAAAACCAATTCTCTTATAGATAAAGTTCAACTTCCAAAAAAACCTTTTTAATATCGAAAAAGATACTGAAAACGAATTAAACCGACTAAGCAAAAAAGAAGAGAAGATGATCTGATGCAAAAAGAACTGAGCCTCCTATCTCGTGAAGTTTGTTAAGGTTTTGAACATTAAGCAGAAAACTGCTTGTCAGGTAAATTTCTTTCAAAAGAAATGTGTTTAACCCATAAGCAAATACCAAAAATATGCATTACAGCCTCATGACGGCTAAAAACAACCTATGTTTGATCATAACATTTAGCAACTTTAGAGCTGCAAACACAGCTAACCAGAATGAGACAGCAATTGAAAAAAATTGCCTATTGTATTGCAACTAAAATAATTTCTTTAGTACTAACTTTACCTAAAAAATCTCTTTTTGCAGTATTTGAAATGCTGGGAGCCCATCTCTTATTAAGATTTTATTAAAGAGAGAAATTTTATTTGACTGGATTTACAGCAGAATTTAAAAAGAGACAAAAGACAAAGAAAACAAGGGAGACACATAGCAAAATACTGGGAATAGCACAGGACAAAAGGGAAAAGAGACCAAAAAAAGACGAGAGAATAACCCAAAAGCCCAAAACTAATAAAAATACTTACCTCAGGATTTTTAGAAGGATTTACAGACAAATTAGAAAATTAAACAAATAGCACCAAACCTCAGCTGTGAACGTATTTACCCAAAATGCAAATTCAGCATGGTTTACACCTCCTTATAAACAGGTCCTTTGGCGCCTGTGTCTTACAAATTTTCCTCGGACTCGTACGGTTTTTCGCCGAACCTACTTTTTTAGAGATCTGTTGTGTCTCATCCGGGTGCCCGGCGTCTCAAGCTTTGAACAGCCCGACCGGTCCATTTTTAGCTGCACTTGAATGATAAGTGCAGCCCATATACCTGTTCTCATAACAGAAACTGTTGTACTGGTGCAACATATTTCACAGCAAATCCACATACATCCAGGAAGTTCTTGCATCAAAAAACTTTAAGTAGTTCAACGGAACGTTTCAACAAAAGTTTTCTGAACTACGTACGTTACAGCCAAAAACCAGAGAGCGGCAAAGCACATCACAAACAGTATGGCGCAAACTGCAAAGAAATAAAACTTATGTTTCAGAGAAGGACCAATAGCAACACAAACTTAGTGAGAAAAACAAATAAGTATATCACAGAAGTATCTTGTGTATTAATAATATAAGATTCTGCTCGTTGGTAGCAGTTAAAATGCCTTTATAATCTACATTCTGAACCCATGGTCAATTTCCGATAACTTATTTGAGCGTTACAGGAGCTGTCTTCATGGAATGCTGATCCAGCAACTATGACAACAGTTACAGCACCAGGTTGTGACCAACATGAACCTTATTTCACAATTAGATGAACGACTAGGGTAGATAATGTTCATTTATGTGATAAAACTAGAAAAAAGATTATTAAAGTTGACAAAAATTCAAAATTAGACAAAGAAACGTATTTACACAAAGAAATGTAACCATCACGACTAGGCTACAGCGAAGCATAAAAATAGAGTATGTCTTATTTGAAAAATTGCTGAACGTTTCCGTTTTTCCTATTGCAGTTTTTCTCGCATTTTTTGGTAAGCAAGAATAAGAAAGAGAAAAGGCAGAAAAACTTCAAATTAAGAAATAATTTTCACATTAAATTTGGTAAGCGCTTTAGCAAACCTAATTACTTAACCAAAGCATATCTGTCGCACTAAACTTTTTATATTCCTACGGCAATTTGAAAACGAGTGTCAGTATAACGGATTCTGAACTTTACTGGAATTATCCTGCCAAAAATACCTAATAAACAATAATTTCAATTATTTACAAATTGAGAGCTTAACTGAAAAATGGTAAAAACTGAAGAATGGTACAAAAGAAAATTTCTTTGTCAATGTAAAACTTTATAAATTTTAGGTCTGTCCACTGATGTCAGTATTTACTTTGTCTTCTCAACAGTCGAATAAGTATGTTTTAAAATGTTTGCTAGTCAAACAATATAATTTCACTGAAGTATTGATGCAGTGAGTAGCTGTGCGAGAAATATAAGTTTAATTTGTATAAAATGTGCATTTTCTCGTTTGTTCGTAATTTATAAGGCTCTCATTTAGACTGGTGGCCCCATCATGCTGATTGGC